TTTTCTATTCTCAGCATCTAGTTAGAGAACTTCTTTTTCTTTTGAATTTGCATTTGCTTTTAATTTTTATGTTTTCAACGGAAAATAACAGTTGCTATGATTTAGCTCTTTATGTTAAGTCCTGTGGTGCGTGTATGAAAGTCTCTGTCATGTTGTTTTCCGCTTCAGGATAAAGTGCAAAGTTTTCAACATTTAGACTTTTCCTCAAGACTCACTAATAGTTGTAGTTTCATAACGTACTTTCTCTTACCACAGTTACTTTACATTCTCTTGCAACTGTTTTTATTTATTGTTTTGCATATTTTGTCATTGTATCCTGATCGTCTCTGTCTGCTGGTCAGTATTTATTGATTTATAGTTGTATAATGTAGTACGTGTGTGTTTGTGTTTTTTTTTTTTTTACTTTTTTTTACTTGTTTTTTTGGTGTGTGTGTGGGTTGTGTGCTGTGATGTGTGTGTGTTGTGTTGTGTGTGTGTGTGTGTATTTTGTGTGTTTTTTCTTTTTTTTGTTGTATTTATTTTTTTTCTTATTTTTATTCATTCATTTATTTTTTTTTTTTTAACTATATTCATTATGTTGTATGTGTGTGTGTTGTTGTTTAATGTGTAGTGTGCTTTTTTTTATTTTTTACTTTTTCATTTTTTTGTGCTTTATAATGTGTGATCTCATGCACCTACCTGTATTTTTATTATTTGTTTTTTCTTATCGTGATTTGCAATTAGATGTTATATTCACACTTGTTTATATAGTTTGTATTTAGTGTCTTGTGTCATTATATTTTTTACATTGTATTTGATTTGATTGATGTCTGCTTCTCATTAGATCCTCAGTATGTTAAAAAAAGAATTGCACCTCTATAGGTGTTGATAAGTCTGGTCGGTCCCTCAGCACTGGCCCCCTCGAGCGGGGTCATTTCCCCTTCTTTCTTGACTCGCACTTCGTTAGTAGCTGCGGGTATGTTTAGATTCATTCCTTTTTACAGTAAGGACAGCTCTCCTCCTTTCCAACTCTCACCTCTCTCGGCTCAATACACTTAATCCTGTTTTAATTAACTATATATCCGCTATATTGTTTTCACCATGTGTGGTTGATTCATCTTAAACTTTTTATTTTATTTTAAGTTAATTACATTATTATTTAATGTTTATTAATTATATTTTCTCTTTCCATTTTTTATTTACATAGTTTATCCTTTACACGTAGTTTTTTATTAAGCATAATATCATGTAATCTGTTATTTTTACATGTCTGAAATAATATTAACCCTCTATAATTAATTTCATTAGTCTTGGATTTAACCCATGTATTTTAATGATTCATTTTTTATCATAACGTTTCACACGTGTTCCGTTTTCTGCTGTGCTATCACACAGCTTTCCCATTTCACTTGTATATGTTTTGCTTGACGTCATACCGGCTTTGTTTCCGAACTGATATTTGTGGTTTCGTCGCATCGCTTTGCTTCATCGTTTTTTGCTGCGATTCGTTTAGTTGATGTAAAAGGTTCAACTTTTCGCAATAACTCGACTTATGTGTTTCAACAATCTAAATCGTTTTTTTTTTTTGATGTCATTTCTCTTCAGTACTTAGGCTTATGCCATTTATCAAACTCTGTTGTTGTCTTTGATGTGTCCGGGCAGGTGATGTAATTAATTTTTGGTTGTTATGGTTTAATCGCACTGTCCAGATCACGTTTTCTCTCCTCGGGCAAGCCTTCAACGCCATCTGTGAACCATTCTGGTGGAATTTGTACGTTAACTTTCTATTCTCTTTTTTACACACTTTCCAGCTCTTACACCATCTTCTCTGTTTATTTATTTGTATTATATACAGTTTCAGCTCATCCATTTTATGGTTGTGATGTGCATTTAGTAGTTTTTGTTGTGAATGTTGTTCAGATGTGCATGTTGCACTTCTTTGTCCTCATATTTATGAGATTTATTTTCACAGGATGCTCGCATACGTTTTTTTTTTATATTCTCTTTCGTTACGTGACCAGCTGGCCTCTCTGTCCTCGTTGGTTATGCTGCTCCTAGAGCGAGATATTTCAGTATGCTTTTCTGAGTGACAGCCTTGGGCGGTTCTGCCGTCGTTTCCTCCAGCTGAAAACACTACAGTACTGTTGACACAAGTCCTTCCCCTTGTTTTCTATGAGCATCTCAGTTAGCAAATTAAATAATGACTATAAGTTTGTTATTATATTTCTTGTACATCTACGCACATGTAGGGAAATAGGTCTCTTGTTTCTATTTATACATTTTTTTCTCCTATTGTCTTTTGCTAGGTCAAGTGAAAGTATATTCCTGGTGTATTTCTTGTGTCTATGCTGCTTCTCCTAACCTCCTGTCGGCTCCCATCATGTTCTGCTGTGTAGATGTTTTTGATTGTTGTCGGACGTGCGAGACCGTTTGTGTGAATGGGAGATCATATGGAGTTTATGCAAAACTACACGTAATTTCCTGGCTTGATAGATTAAACTGACGTAGTTGAATTGAATTCTATTGATCTGTATCAGTCTTGTCGGTACGTGAGTCATGTTGAAGGCTGGACCCATCCAAGACGTGATCGTGGACGGAATAGAATGCATAAAAAGATGTATTCTGATTTCATTATTACCAATATTTCCATTTATATTTTTTGTTTTTTTATTTTTGTTTTTTTACTGTTTATTCTCTCTAATCTGATTTTACTTTTTTTTATTTTATTCCATTAAAACTTTTTGCTATTTATATCTATTTTTTTACTTTTATTATTGTATATTTTTTTGTTTTGCTTTTTTTTTATTATTGCTTTCTTTATTTATTTATTGATCAGAATGTTGTACATTATATATTTTGTTCTTTTTTTAACTCATTTTACTTTAATTTTTCATTATTTTTTATTTCTCTGGCTTGTTATTTTGTGGTTTTATTATATTGTGTGTAATGTTATTTTGTTGTTCAGTTTTGTGTTCGTGCTGCCTTTATCCTATTTATTACTTTTATAATGCTCTACAATTTTCTGCTTTGTTCGGGTGTGTGTGGTGTTGATGGGTGTTATTGGCTTTCTTAAGTTTGTGTGGTGTGTGTGTTGTGTGTGTGATTGTGAGTTTGTCTCATTCTGTGTCTTGTGGTTGTTGTCACTCGTTTTCTTTCTTTATTAACATTTAAACATTTTTTTCTTTCCATTTAAATCAAATTTTCTCTTAACTTTCTATTTTTTTCCTTTATTCTCATTTGTTCTGTTTTCTTTAATTTTTACATTAATAATTTTTTCCAAACCGCAATTTTTTATCTTTTTTTATTTTCTTCATTTTTTTTTTTTGCTTGCTTTTTTGTGGCTGGTCATATATATATGTGAGTGGTATTTGAGTGTTCATTTTTTTGCGTTGTTTCTTTCCTTGCATGTAGTATGTGTGGTTCTTTTACATGATTGCATATTTTTTTTGTAGTTTGGTTGCTTGTGTGTTGTGGTGTCTTGTTATTTATGTATTCTCTTCTCCTAGGGT